AAAATCCCCAACCCTCCCCTCCCATCATAACCCTAAAAGCCCCAAAACACAAAAATCCCCCCCAAACCCTCAAAGGCCCAAAAAAGCCAAAACACAAAAAACCACCAAAAATCACCAATAAACCCCCACCCCACCCCCCAAAAAAACCACAAAGACCCCTCAAATCCCTAAACCCCCAAATTCAAAAAGCTTCAAAAGACCCAAAACCTCCCCAATGCCCCAAACCCCCCTAAATCCCTCTGCCCCATAGCAGCCCCTCTGCCCCACAGCTGAGCAGAGGCAGCTGTGGGGCGGAGCCATGGGGCAGGGGGTCTCTGTGGGGCAGAGGGATCCGTGGGGTGGGGTGTGGGTCAGAGTTTCTATGGGGCAGCTGTGGGTCTGGGAGAGATGTGGGGTAGAGCTGTGGGGCAGGTGGGATTCTATGGGGCAGAGCTGTGCGGCGGTACTATGACGGACAGTGGATTGTGGGATGGTGGAGGGTGGGTGGTGGAGTGTGAGAAGGGGGATGATGGATGGTGCATTGTGGGATGGCGGCGGGTGGGAAGAGGGATGGTGGATGTATTGTGGGATGGTTAATGGTAGATTGTGAATTGTGAATGGTGTATGGTAGACTGGGATAGTGGATGGTAGATTGTGAGATGGTGGATGGTGGATGTTTGATGGTGGATGGTGGGAGGGTGGATGGTGGGTGGTGGATGTTGGTTTCTGCTGTGCTGGATGGTGGATGGTGCATTTTGGGATGATGGATGGTTTATACTGGATGGTGGAAGGTGAATGGTGGGAAGGTGGATGGTGGATTGTGGGATGGTGGATGGTGTATGGTGAGAGGACTGATGGTGCATGGTGCCTGTTGTATTGTGGGATGGGTGGAAGGAGGATGGTGGATGGTGGATTGTGGTATGGGGGATGGTGGGTGCTGGAGTGTGAGAAGGTGGATGATGGATGGTGGATTGTGGGATGGTGGTGATTTGAATGGTGGATGGAGGATTGCGGGATGGTGGAAGGTGAATTGTGGATGTTGGGAAGGCTGGTGATGGGTGGTGGATGGTGGGCTGTGGGATGGTGGGTGCTGGATGGTGGGAAGGAGGATGGTCGATGCTGGATGGTGGGAAGCTGGATGGTGGAATGTGGGAAGGTGGATGGTGGGAAGGTGGTTGGTGGATGGTGAATTCTGGGAAGGTGGATGGCAATCCAGTCTACTTTTCGCTTTGGGTCCGGTACCCAGTGTATTAGAAGACAATAGAAATAAGTTGTGACTTTAAAGGATCCTATTTTTTCCCCGTAGGCTATTCCTCTGGGGACTAGATGATGGTTTAGTATTGCAGGGGTGTGCTGGGTTGGTGTGTGTGGTGGGGACTTCTGATAGCAGGGGAGGGGGCTACAGCGGTGGCCTCTGTGAGAAATAACTTGAAGCTCCCCCAGCTCCAAGTTGGACCTCACGCTTTGCCTAAACCTTGTACTTACCCACTTCAAGATCTTGGTCTTAATTTTGCTAAGTGCTCAATCCCAGGGGTAACCATGACAGCGAAGTTTGTACGCAAATGATGGGCCGTTTATTTTAGTTGCATTATGCTTACTGTTTTTGTAAATTTAATGGTATCCCTCGGCCTTTTACTTTTGTGGGGAGTAAGAACAGTAGCTGACCTTCCTGACTTACTTTCTCATGGCCCTTCTGTTCATCCCTGATCTGCTTTACAGTTACTGGTGTTTTCTTTCTAGCGTCTTTTTTTTTTTTTTTTCTTTTTTTATTTTTTTTCTGGAGAGGTAAAAAATTATTTGCTACTAATGGCAAGTGTAATTTGAAAAGAAAGGCACTAATGAATTGCTCTTCCCTCGTACGTGTTCTTCCAAGAAGGCAGTTTAAGATGCTTGTGGAAAGTGTATCTGTTGAGGACTCTGGTGGTGCTAACGGAACAGCAACTACCCTGCTGCTGGCGGACAACTGTCAAAGTTAACCACCAGACTCTTTGCAAATAGACAGATGCCCACAGACACCAGTGTATATTAAAAGCTTGTAGAACTTAGGCTAGACAAGGACTTTGGCCATAAATACAATACTTCTGTCTTTTTGCCTTGATTTTAAACACAGGAAACAAAAGAATATATTATGTTTCCATGAAGCAGCACAGGCAGGTCATGTTTGACTTTAAAATGGCTCTTCAGTTTGCCTTCTTGTCACCTGTGGGTGTCTATTCTGTGTGTAATCTTGTTCCTTCAGAGCTGACAAATTATTTATCATCACCTTTTCTAAATAGCAGATGAATCATCTTTTCGCTTCAGAAGAAGGAAAACCTCTTGTACCTGGTTTTTCTCCCCTCACAGTGAAAAGCACACAACTGATAATCTCAGTGAGTTGGTTGGTTTTTTTTTTTTTTTTTTTTTTTTTTTTTTTTATACTCCTACCATTAAGTTACACCCTGCCTAGATAAATAAGTAACAAATATTGTGTGGAGGGTTCAAGTCCAAATAAGCACTACGCCTTAAACCAGACTAACACCAACTATTGTCTTAAGGAAAAAAAGTTACTGAATCTTATGTTTACAGAGACAGGATGTCAGAGGGGAACAGGAGGTGTAATGTGTCACCAGAAAATTGCAGACAGTCGAAATCATCTTAAAAGCCTAAAAGCTAAAGATCTCTCTTGGTTTTGACAGACAAGCTGGGTTTTGCTTAATGGAAACTTTCACATAATGGTTGCTATTGTCTGCAGAAGAAAATGGTGATCAGGTAAGAGCATTTCCTCTAAGTTCCTTCTGCCAAAGGTCTTTGAGAAGTGATTTGTTGTCCTCAAAAAGAATTACTGTTGCAGAATTTTTACAAGTGCGCCAGGTTAGCAGCAGGAACTGTTGCCCTTTGGGGACGGGAAGTGGGCCTGAGTGATCGAGCTGTTACAGAAGGGGCACTGAGCTTATACACGCTATAGTCCCATTTGAAGAACAACCAACTGCCGGCAGATCCCAGCTGGGAGTTGCCGTGGGTTCACAGATCACTTTTGTAGCATCTTTATACTTGCAAAGCAGTTGCACCAGATTTTACGGTTCAAGAATATGTCTTGGCCACTATTCAGGTGGTGTAACTTGTGACAGTCTGAGGGAAGAGAGCCGTGCCCTCTCGAGGGTAAGTGATCTGCAGAGACTATGAGCACACTAGCTACTGTTTATAGTAGAATTATTCCTTTAGTTATAATTGTGAAGTTTTGTGCTGTTTAGTCTTAACAGTAACAGATCTGGCATCCGTGCTCATGTATCGTGCTATTTTCTCTCTGTCAAACAATGTGATAGGGGTTGAACTGCAGATCGCAATCTGGTTGCAGTACCTAGGATGCAAAACAGCTAATCCAGGTAACACAGCAATACAGACTTGGCCTCACTATTGGCTGTGTGAAGACAAAACCAGGCAACCAGTGTAAAAAGCAGAATGCAGCTTGGAGGTGGGGAACTTCTGGGAACGGAGCATTCTCGAAAGCGTTTAATGTGTTGGTTGACATAGCAAATTACCACGCGCTGGTTTGGGGCAGAGACTCCGAAAAAAAATGGGGGCTTTTTCCCACCTTGTGGTGCCCAGGGCCTGGAGGCTTAAAGAGCAGAGGGAGAGGGGACCAGGGTATGGCAGGGCAGGGCACCAGATTTCCTCAAGCATCCCTGCCCCTCTGGGGACGTTTTCTGTACCGCACAAGCAGGTACTTGGCTCCTGTCAGTTCCACAGTTTTAGAAACCGCTCCAATTCCACCTGACTCTGACCTGACTTCCTGAAGTCATCTCAAAACTCCTTTTTGTACTTCGATGTGGCTGCACCAGCTGTGGGGAGCGGGAGGGCTCTGCAGCCACCCGAAGTGCCCTTTGAGGCTGTGTGGGATGCCGGGGGAAGAGCAGTCAGGAGCAGGGATTTGGAGGTGGTTTCCCCTGCTCTGAGTGCTTCTCTTTCAGCTCCTGCACGTGGAAGGAAGCCGCTGGATCTCAGCCTCTGGAGGAACATTTTCCTCTTCTCTGCCCCAAAAGGGCATTTGTGCCCACCCTTTTCCCAGCTCTTCAGTGCCGGGGTGCTCAATCAAATGCTTTCTCCAACTGCGTGTTCACCATTTAGCTCCTTTCCTGCCCAACTCGGCTTTAACCGCTGCCAGCCACATGGTGCTGCGCGTGGGATTTTAACCTTTGGCAGACACTGGAATGTTTGCTCTGTGTGTTGGTCCTGGCTGCTTGCAAGGGGACTCTCGGGGTGAAGCGCTAAGGCTTGGACAATAGGGTCAAGCTGGAGTTAACCTGTAGATGAATCCTGTATATTTTATAGCTGATAACCATTGTGCTAACAGGTATTATACTAAGTTATAACCAACCACCTATTCTGATCTAAAAGGTGGAAGTGTTGAAGCCTGAGCAACAGGCCCTGAGCCGAAGCTGCTAACTCAGTGTGTTATCATTAGTGAAATATGTCAGGAAGATGTAGCTATCTTCAATGTATATTTATCTTTCTTTGTGTGTGGATAAAAAAACAGGGTCGTGGAGGCCACTGCCTGTGGCTGTGGCCTGATGTGAGACCTTGCTCATAATCCAATGAGATGAGCTGGGAAACTCCCTGACAGGCTTCTCCCCTGAGCCCTGGCCAGGCTCTGGGGGAATCTCATGTGAGATTGAGACCAGATATTTCCGCTTAAACAAAGGTGCTAGCTATTCTGACTTGCTGATTTTGGGTTCTACAAGGCTGGACCTGCTCACAGCGACTCTGGATGCCTCAGCTACGGGTGGAGGCACCGTGTAGGATTTCCCACTTGCAAGGACAGGCTCTGCCAATCCCCGTGTAACCGGGGCTGCCCAGCGCTGCGGGGCTGGGGGGTGGGAACGAGTGCAAGTGGTGATGGATCTTTTCTTAATTGCTGTTCCCTCTCTCTCAGGTAGTCATGATTTGATGGATTTTCCTATTTGTATTTTCCTATTTGTTTGAGTCTGCTACTCTGTCTTTTCTTATGGTACGTTTTCTTTATTATTGTTACATTATTTAGTTATTTCTAGTAAAACAGGCCTGCTCTTTTCACTCTGGTGTCTAAGGTTAATTGATATCCCTAATCTGCAAAACACGGGGAGATCAGGTGGCAGTTCCCAGAGCCAAGGTCGGTGGTAGGGCGGTGTCACTGGGGAGCGATTTCTGTTGGTTTGGCTTTGGGCTGAGCTGTAGCCGGCAGGGCGCTAGTTCCTGGCAAGGGGTTGGACGTGGGAGCTGTCAGGGCCAGAGCTGTGGTAAATTTAATCAGACAGCTTGCTTGGGTTCTCCAGTCCTAGTGTATGTTCCAGAAGAGTGGTCGAATGTGAACAGAAATATTCATTGGGTTTTTTTTTTGTTTTGTGTTGTTTTGTTTTTGTTTTTTTTTTTTTTTTTTTTTCCAAAAGCTATTTCTGCAATCACCAGGATTTGAAAAATTAAATCAGGAAATCTTTTAGGAAAAATATCTACAAATAGTGCCTTTAACAGTTACTGTACGGGTTTCCTAGGGCCTGGAGTTATATGTTTTGTCATTAAACAACTCTGCACTCCAGTGTAGCGTTATCAAAGGCTTTCCTGCCCCTCCCGTACCTCCCAAACTGACTTGCAGCTGCTCTGGCTTACACCGTCAGCCACCCCGATGAGTTCCAGGTCACGGGGCTGTGCTGCCCGCACTGGGGCTGTGCCAAAAACCCTCCCTTCCCGGGGGTTGTAAGACCCGGCAGCGCTGACATTATTTTTTGGTATTATTTTTTGGCTCCGGTTCTCTTTTTTTCTGTGTGTCTGTCCCTGTTTCCTAATTCTTCCTTCTCTGCCCTGGAACATGTAGCTATGTGATTTGTTTTGAGTTCTTCCCTGCACTTTCTCTCAATCGTTTGCTGTCCTGGCTCCCCATCCCTGTTGCTTTTTCCTCCCTCTGTGCCCTGTTGTTTGTAGCTTTTTTGTCTTTCAAGGGGCTCTTCCCTGTGTCATTGTAGTGTTGAGTCTTTCCCAGCTCACTGGGGTGTTATCCCTCATGTATCACCCAGAGTTCAGGCATTCTGACACGGCAGGCTGCCGTGAGGAGTGACGCAGCGATGGGCGTAGGAAGCGTTGTGGGGGTCGGGTGGCTGGGTGGGTTTGCTGAGAGCAGGGGGTGGTTTGTGGGGTACCTGAATCAGTGGTGTGTTTAGAATCTGCCTGACTGTGCATGATTGTTAATGTGTTGGTTTTGTTGCAGGTTGAGTAGAGTTTTTTGAGTAGTTAGGAAAAATAAAAAGTAATATAGAATAAAAAAACACCCAGCTGGGGGATTTTTTTTTCTTATGACAGTCCTAATCTGGGGTCCTGACTCCTTCAACCTGATCCTTGACCTCCCTAATCCAGAGCCCTGTGATGCTGATGGAGCTCACTGGTGCCTCGTTTCCAGCAGCGGTTGTACAGCCAGATGTTTTGTCCTCTTCAGGAGGGTGCCTTGTGAGTAGATCCCCTTCCACCTTCCCAGGGGTGAGCTGCCATCAGATTCAAATGGAGCTAACACTGCAGAAGAGACCCATGTTTTTTTATTTAAAAAAAAAGTAATTATCTTCTCACTGGTATTCACTGAAGAAAAGTCAATCAGTTTTTCTGGCAGTGTATAAAGGCTCATGGTCAAATGTGATGTAAGCAAGGGGAGAACATGCAGTTCCCGTTCCCATACTTGCTTCTCTCCTCATTAGTGCAGGATTTGTTTTTTACTAATTTCATTGCTTACTATCTCAAGCTTTTGACAACATTCCCTTTATGGCGGTTGGGGGGTGCTCTCTGCACCTGGGGCTCTGGGGTACTCCTCCAGCTCCGTGGGGGCTCCTGCTGACACAGGGCCCATGTGTAAAAAGTTTTAACCCCAGTTTATTTCTTCTGTGCTCCCAGCAGCAGCAGAGCTCACTTCTGAAACTGGGAGCTGGAGCAGTGCGGGTGGGTGAGCTGTGATGCCGCACTGACCCCTCCATCCAACACAGACCATGTTTCAGCTCCACAACTCAGTCTGTCCCGTCAAGATATCACCGGGTTTCACTGACCTTATTCTCAGCCCTGTGGGGGTGTGTGGAGATGGAGAGCTCCTGCGTCCATCCGGAGCATGATCCCAAAATCCTGGAAAGCCCCAAACTAGCCAGTGTTTCACCTGGGGTGCTCATACTCTCTTGCTCCCCAGGAGAAGCAAAAGGAAAGATCCCTTCTGCTAACATTATTCTAAGAAAAAATAGCCCCCACACCTTACCATTTCTGTTTTAAGCCCAGGGTAGTGCCTGATGTCCCACGGGAGCAGGGTGCGAATCCAGTAGCGGACAGGTCCAGGCTGTGGGTTTCTGTCTTCTGGAACAGTGGCTGTGGGAGCCAGAGCCTGGAGGGGGAGGAGGGTGAGACATGTTGCCTTGATGTTTGCCCCACCTGCTGCTTTGGTTGTGAACACAGGGCTGCCTTAACCCCTCACAGCAGCCAACTGGGATTTCCCATGGGAAAAGGGCTTTGCTGGAAAAGCTTTGCTCACTTCTTGGGCAGCTGAGAGCAGAGGGAGCTTGAAACACAAGGGAAAAGCAGAAGCAGTTTGTGGTCATGACTGGGTTTATAGCATGAACTTCTGATAAGGATCCTGCAAATTCTCCTCCAGTTGCCTATTCAGGTGGCTTTGCGGCGGGTTTGCTTGCAGCAGTGGGATTTTGGCTGAGCACCGTGAGGGCTCAGGCACGTTTCCCCCCCACAGCGGGGTGGGAGGTGCAGAAAAACCCCCTGTTCCTCCGTCAGCCGAGCCCAAGTCCCCATCCCCGCGCCAGCCCCCCACTGCTGTCCCCCTGCCACTCAGCTGCCATTCCCACCGATTTTTCTCTTCCTTACGCTGAGGCCTGAGAGTTTTTCACTGCCCTTTGAGTGGAAGCTTCCCGCTGCTTCCCCAGGGTGCCAGTGCTGGTTTGTTTTCTGACCTGGGACATGAAAGGCAGCACCATCTCCCCGGCACCCGATGTGCCATGCGCTTTACTCCACACACCTGGAAATTCCCCCACCTCCAGCCCCGCTGCGGCGCAGCAGTGGGGGGGTTTCTTGGGATGGCTTTGAACTTGGCTGTTCGTCCCCACCGGTTGCAGTGTGGGCTCATGGTAGCAGGCTGTCGTCAGAGCAGCCATCCCCTAATGAAACAGCATGCCAGCACCTCGGTGCTGCCTATTGATCAAGCTTTCACCATTCTTAAATGGATGGTGTTTTGAAAAAAAAAACAAACAGCAAACCATCAGTATATGGAGCAGCTTGTCTCTCCCTGCTCTGTGGGTCACTTAATGCGGTTTGAAGAGGGATTGCCTGACTTGGCACCTCTGGGATTTTTCTTTTTATAAAATCCAAATTCACTAAAATACCTGGCTGGGACCTAGGTCTCATAACCCTTTTTGTGTTTCCAGAACTAGCTTTACAGTGAGAAGTGCCTATGTCACGATGGGGAGGCTGAGGTGGCTGCAGGAAGGGCTGGGAAGGGGGTGCAGGAGGGGGAAGGCTGTCCCCAAGCTCAGCCCCAAAGCTGCCAGTGGCTCTGCAGGTCCCTGGGAATTCACTGGGGTCCTGGTAAGCATGTGGATGGAAGGCTGTTTGGGGTGGGATTCAGAAAGTCTTTGCTTCAGTGAAGGAGTAGGAAGTTGAAAGAGATTTTTGTCTACATGAACTTGTACTGTCACCCATGGGTGCGTCAGTCCCTGCCTCCTCCAGGCTCCCTTTCTGCCTCTTTCCCATGCAGCCATCCCTGGTGTGAGCACGTCTGGCACAGGGAGGAACCAGAGCTGGGTGCAAACACCCACAGCCGGAGCGAAGAGGACTGGAGGTGACTCCTTTGCAAACAAAGTTTCCTCGGGTGACACTTGCCAAGGGGAGGGAGAGGAGGGCTGGCGTGGCAGGAGCCGGCAGCACCCTGCACCCAGCTGCTCTCCTCTCTGATTGCTTTCCCCCGGCCTAGACTAAAGGGATTTTCAGGCCCATGTGCCACATCTGACCTCAGTCTGCCAGTCTCAGCACGCTGCACGCCCTGCCAGTCTCATCTGCCCTGCAGAGCTGGGCCTGGTATCAGCCCCTGCCACTGGCAGCAGTGCAGCCGCAGGCCCGCACAGCAGCGTGAGGCCTGGGCACTCTCAGCTCTGGGGAGATTTTTCAACTTGTAGGACATGCACTGCAACAAAGCTTTTCACACCTGAATAGCACCAGCTGTCAAACTCTTTTTGTCAGATCTGTGGTGTCTGGTGATTCCCGGGGAGTGCTCCCAGGATCGCAGCTCCGGGCCCCATCCTGTGGGCAGGGCTGGGGGCTCGGCAGGGGTTTACGGCCAGAGCAGGGCTGGGGGCTGCGGGCAGGGGGCAGGAGGGGCTGGATCCTGGGGGAGGGAGAGCAGTGCTTCCCCCGGGGCTGCAGCCGCATCCCCACACCCTGCCCGGAGGCAGGTGCTTTGCTGATTCACAGGGACCCAGGCAGCTCACCCTGCGGAGGGGGGAACATCAGGGGCTCGGGCTGAAGCTGGAACTTCAGCACTGAAATACGGAAACTTTTCCAGAGCAGTAATAATTTCACAGCAAAACTAACACTTAGGTGGTTTGGGGCTTTGTATTTGTGGGTTTTCTTTTTTTTTTTTTTTTTTTTTTTTTTTT